AAAGGCAATTATTATAGCTAACTTATTCATTTTTGTTTAGCTCATTTGAGCTAACGGAACTTTTCTGATTAATCAAGTACTGTGGGCTGCTAAATTTCCATCTGTAGAAAGGACAGCAGATAAGCAGAATTCTATCTATCTATCTATCTATCTATCACATTTGTGTTGTTTTAAAATGACTAAAGCTATGATATAGACTGATCCTGTGCCCTATTGAAGGCAATGCAGTACAGTCAATTGGGCGGTACAGGGGTGATTGGGCCCCTAGCTGACCTGCAGTGGATAACTTTGGAAAACCATCACTTTAACAACAATTCTGTCTCTGTTTCTCTCCTCTGATTCTTTATTACTAGGAATATTTGTACGAAAATAGGATCTTTCTTGCTGCTCCTGAGGGCTGTTCCCCACCCTAAGTTGTCATAAAATCATTTCCATGGCAATCAATTGTGGCTGAAGAAAGGCAGACGCACTTGTTATGAGAGTTTTTAAAGTCTGTGGTGTGTGTCACTGCCCTTTAACTCCTAAGAAGACAGACAACGAAATGCTGTGCTACAACAGGAGCTATACAGATAATCGTGTGGCGTGTGCATTAAGGAGCTTGGTTAAACCATATGATTCAAAAGTACAGTATCCTGGGTAATAAAATAAACATTACCTGGCAACACTTGATGAACCTGAGATGGGTACTCATTTAGTCTTTGATTTAAATCCCACTATTTTCAAGGTTTCTTCTACATGACATTGCAAAGGCTGCCGCAAATGGTATTCTAGCCTCAGATTTCCCACCAATTTCTGTATCAAACACATTTGGATAATCTTGCAGACTGCTAGATGATGATCAGAACTGCAGTTTTCATCCCTGTGATCCTAGTTGTGTTCCCTAGCTTCTGTTTGCCAGAAGCTGGGAATGGGTGATGGGATAGATCACGTGATGATTACCTGTTCTGTTCATTCCCTCTGGGGCACCACCGTTGGAAGACAGGATACTGGACTAGATGGACCTTTGGTCTGACCCCGTATGTTCGTTCTTATGTGGCTTTTTAAACCACAGCCTATAGTAGGGGGATGCAAAGGCGCACTACGCCAGCAATAGCTCCAGAAACATTGTGCCTCCAGACACTCTGCAGAGCTCAAGTGGCAGTTGGCTGAGCTCCCCTTTGCCAGGGTGCAGCCAACTGGTGAAGGGGAGAGGCCACCTAGCCCTATACATAGGGCCCTACCAAATTCATGGTCCATTTTGGTCAATTTCACCGTCATAGGATTTTTAAAATAGTAAATTTCATGATTTCAGCTATTTAAATCTGAAATTTCATGGTGTTGTAATTGTAGGGATCCTGACCCAAAAGGGAGTTGGTGGGGTTGCGGTACTGCTACCCTTACTTCTGCACTGCTGCTGGTGGTGGCACTGGCTTCAGAGCTGGGCAATGGTGAGCAGCGGCTGCTGGTTGGGACCCCGGCTCTGAAGGCAGCACCACCGCCAGCAGCAGCGCAGAAGTAAGGGTGGCATGATCTGGCATTGCCACCCTTACTTCTGCACTGCTGCTGGCGGGGCGCTGCCTTCAGAGCTGAGCACCCGGCTAACAGCCACCGTTCTTTGGCTGCCCAGCTCTGAAGGCAGTGAAGAAGTAAGGGTGGCAATACTGCAACCCCCCTAAAATAACCTTGCGACCCCGCTACAACTCCCTTTTGGGTTAGGACCCCCAATTTGAGAAACGCTGGTCTCCCCCATGAAATCTGAATAGTATAGGGGTAAAAGTGGGCAAAAGACCAGATTTCATGGAGGGAGACCATATTTCACAGTCCGTGATGCATTTTTCATGGCCGTGAATTTGGTAGGGCCCTAGCTATACGGTTTTCACCATCATTGCCAGTTCTAGAGTTGCCCCAGTGTTTCCAGTCCCAAAGTGCAACTATCAAGAGGGTGACAATTCCTGCTCAGTGTCACAATAGCCGAGGTGGGACGAAGCCTCCTTGAAACCTCTTTCCTGCCTATCCTTCTTGCACACCCACATAGGGCTCAGTCCAGTCTAGCCCTATAGCTCCTCCGCTTTACTTGCCTGTCTCATCATATCCACAGGGATGCCATTGGCTGCTTGCCAGACCAAAGCTGTGTTTGAGTTATGTGAGCATAGAAAAGTCCCCCGAAGCATCAGCTTGTATTATCTTTTTGCACACATGGAAGCTATAAATGCCCAGTGAAATTTGGTTAAAAAAAGATGCACTCCTGAGATGAGACTTTGTCAAGCTAGAGTAATTTTTTATGATCAAGTTATAAAACCCTAAAAGTAGGATAATGGGAAACCTGACACATCCTTAACTGAAACAGAGTGAAGGGCCCTGCCTCCCGGCCCTGCGCCTCCCTGATCCCGTCCCCAGCCTCAGCATGGCTTGCACCCAGCCAGGGGCCCGGCTGCCAGCCCCTGCTGCAGACCCGGCTGCTGGCCCCCATTGCAGCTCTGTTTCCACCCCCACACTCAGCCTTGGCCCTTGGCCATGGCTCCGTCCTCAGCCCCAGACTCACCCCGAGCCTCTTATCCCTGTCTGCATTCTCCCTACCCCAAGCCGCAGCCCCACTCCTAGCCCTGGCTCTGAAGAACATTGGGGGGGCACGAACAGAGGGAAGGGGTGGCATGACCCTCTAAAGTTTGGGGACCATTGATTTAGGCTGACCTCCTGCACGTTGAAGGCCACAGAACCTCACCCACCCACTCCCGTAGTAGGCCCATAACCTCTGACTGAGTTACTGAAGTCCTCAAATCTTGATGTAAAGATGTCATGTTACAGAGAATCCACATTTACTCTAGCTTAAACCAGCATGTGACCCCGTGCCTCACATTGCAGAGGAAGGCGAACACTCCCCAGGGTCTCTGGCAATGTGACCTGGGGAATATTCCTTCCTGACCCCAAATATGGCGATCAGTTAGATCCTGAGTTTGTGGGTGAGATCCACCAGCCAGACACCTGGGAAAGAATTCTCTATAATAACTGAGAGCCCTCCCCTGCTAGTGTCCATTCAGAACACACAGATGTGTATTAATCAGTAGCAGATCTTAGTATTGTTTTCAGGTTTTTTTTTCCATTTATTACACATACAGAAGTGACATCTTCCAAGTTTAACCACCCAACACACACACACCCCCATGAGAAAATGCAAAAAACTGCATGTTATGCCATGTTAAATTTGAACAGATAAAAACCACAAGAAGTCAGGAAATGCAAAGTTTTTGGTTCTAAAAGCAACATTAGCTCAACTCCATTGTCCAACATACGTGTTTTGTGGAACACCTCTACCCCGACATAACGCGACCCAATATAACATGAATTCAGATATAACGTGGTAAAGCAGTGCTCCGGGGGGGCGGGGGGCTGCGCACTTCGGCGGATCAAAGCAAGTTCGATATAACGCGGTTTCACCTATAACTCGGTAAGATTTTTTTGGCTCCCGAGGACAGCGTTATATCGAGGTAGAGGTGTATTGTTTGATATTAACATAAATATATCAGCCAGAAAAAACAAGACTGGAACATATCACACATATGGTAGATGGCCAAATGACTGTTGCTGTTTAACTTTTGCGGTACATTTTATGGATTTAATTATGTAATATTATTGTTCTTGTTATTATTTATTTATTCATGTAGCTCTCTAGCTGTGCATGGCATTTCACAGAACAAGCAGTGACTTACCCTGTGCTCATAAGGGTTTACAATCTAAGAGCCCGGTTGGCAAACTCTTACTGCTGAGCGTAGGGCTTACTATTACGAGGCATCCCTGCGATGTCATTGACTTCTTTTGGACTCCACATGGGCACAGCAGCTCAATCCCAGGACAACACAGGAGGTGACAACACATGGTGAGGATGGGGAAGGAGTGGGAGAAAGATGAAAGCAATGGAGTAATCCTATCCTGCCCTCATTGAAGTCAATGGTAAAACGCCCATTGACTTCAGTGGGACAGGATTTCACACATTAAAATGATGTGGTCACTCTGGAGGCCAATGTAGTGTCTTGGTGGTTACAATTTTTTTATAGTAATAGCAATTGTTTTGACTTGAGGAACATGGCACTAACATAACTTGTATCATTTAATCTTTCTCTTAAAGAGAAATGAGAGAAAAGGAAATTGCTTGTGCAATTGGATGGGTTTTTTTTAAATGAGCCCTTTAGATTTTGAAGCTCACGCCTCACTGAGGGGAATATGGTGGGAGAGGGGTGAGTTCCAACCTTTTCTGCTCCTGTTATTTGCCTGGAGATCATTTTCTGTAAAACGGGTTTGTAGGGTAGCAGCACATTTGTTTACACTGTGGTGGATTTTTGTAATAGAAAACAATTCAGGCCAAGACTTTCAAAAGTGACTTGTGATTTCAGGTGCCTCAGTTACTGAGTGTCTGACTTGGGACACCTTGAAGGAACCTGATTTTCAGAGAATGGTGCTTAACACTGTCTGAAAATCAGCCACCTATAAATTGTCTCAAGCTGAGCACTTGAACTCACTAGTCACTTCTGAAGAGGTTGGCTTTAGATTATATAGCAAATACTAATTATGCAATTAGAATGTCAGGACTATTGTAAAAAGCAACAGAGGGTCCTGTGGCACCTTTAAGACTAACAGAAGCATTGGGAGCATAAGCTTTCGTGGGTAAGAACCTCACTTCTTCCGATGCCATCTGAAGAAGTGAGGTTCTTACCCACGAAAGCTTATGCTCCCAATGCTTCTGTTAGTCTTAAAGGTGCCACAGGACCCTCTGTTGCTTTTTACAGATTCAGACTAACACGGCTACCCCTCTGATACAGGACGATTGTAGAATGCAAACTTTAAAGAGACCCTAAAATACCGGATTCCCCAATTGTTTTTTATTTTGCACTTGCAATTTTTTCCTGGCCATGATGTTTAAGTAAGTATTTTTAGAGGATTTTGCTGTGCATTTTTCAGTGAGACATTTACAGTTTCTGTAATCTCTATTGTCTCAGCACTAGACAGAGAGGCACAATCACACTCACTGTCTGAGCAGCCAGGCAGATGTACAGTGATGACAAAAATAAGACAGGACTCAAGTAGGCTGTGCCAAAATTCTTAGCAGATAGCATGCTCTGAAGTCATTTTGCAGTTGCTTATCATTTTAAAAAATATTGTTCTGCAAACCAAGGAAGGTTTCAAGTTTTGGACAGCTGTTTTGCTGCTGCCATGTCCAAAAGAGGGTATTTAAAAGCTCTTTAATAGGAGGCATTTTTGTTTAATTCTCCCATAGCTCAAAAGTGACAAAAGTGATTTAGTTCAAACTTTTCCAAATAAAATAAAAATTCACTCCAGACCTAGCATGGAAATTTGCAGCTCAAAAGGTGAATGTTTCAGGAAGCTTTGAGTGTATGAAAACAGCGAGTTAGGCTAGAAAGTGCTTTGCAATCTTAACAATAGCAATTGCTGCCAGATGCTTGCTGCAATGCATTATGGGCCAGATTCTCAGCTGGCATGAATTGATCTACATCCAGTATCCATAGGCACATCATTCATTAGACTGAGGAAGATGTATCTTAGCTCACATGCTATTTCATTATTTATATAATAACTTTGGAGGTGCCACCCTTTTGTCTTATGTCAAACCAAACTGGTCATATTGACTATTTCTGAAGCAGTTAATGCTTAATCAAAAGCCTATTGAAGTCAATGAAAAGACTCCCATTGACTTCTATGAGCTTTGGTCAGTCTCTCAAACTGTTGAGATAATATTTCTCATGTTGTCCTTAGTATTTTGCTGTAACATTCAAGATAAGATTTTCAAAGGAACCTCAAGGAGTTAGGTGCCCAAAATCTCAATGAGATTCAACTCCTTTGAAAATCCAAACTGGAGTCAGTGCTCAATAAATACTTGGTTAATGCATTTTCCCAGCCTTTCTGTAACGTGTCAGAAATTTTCTTCCCCCCATCTGTCTCTTCCTCGGATCTATTCTGCTTCTTCAGGATGTGCTGCTGAATTTGATTCTGAAGAACCAAGCACTCAAGATCAGCTTCTGAACATAAAAGCTTTAGAGGACTGAGGTATATCCATGGTTGCAACCTTGCACTTTATATCAGGCGAGTGTGTCGCTCTTGTAGGGGTATGTTTTAAAGTGATGAATCCTTAAAGATTGTCAAATTGTGTTCCTGAATGTACTGCAGTAGGATCTGTCCTCTTCTGTTAATGACTTGAAGCAAGTGTCTAAGTCCTGGGTATCCACCCTGGCTTTCCCAGAATTCCTGATCCAGGGACAGTGACTTCAGAAGCATGTTCTGTAAACATCCCGATTTGAGCACAGTCACAGCTGTCTCAGGAAACCTGATGAAGAAAATCAGAAGAGGGAAAGAAAGAAAAGGAGTTGGAAAGATAAAATCATACAACTAAGGGGTTAGAGCAGAAGAATAGTGTTTGCTCCATTTCTGTCTCTGTCCCCAGAAGTAGTCAGAGTTCTGTTCTGTTCATATTTTATGCAAAGCAGAGATTCTTTTGGTGCTAACTATTTTTCTTGGATGCAGAGGTGTAGAAAGCGGTAACAGTTTAATAAGCACAGAGTGAGAGAGCTGTCCCTCGCCCAAAACATTTGAATCTGGATTTTCAACCCTTCAGTGTTCAGGGGGTGTTTTGAGCCTCAGTTTAGGTCTTTGTCCAGCTCTTGCGAGGATGCACAAGAGCAATTCGGTGTGAGAAATATACCCTGATATTAAAGGGCTGTTACCATGTTAACCCAATAGGTTCCAGGCATATGCTTTAGGGGACACAAGTGGCCTAAGTGTCTTGTGACAAGTCATTCCCTAGCACATGGAAAGGGACTCAAGCGGCAAGCTTTGGAGCGATGGCCAGATTTCAAACTACTCAAAGTCCAGGATTATTCTGGTCCAAGGGTTTGGGTGGTTCCCATTTCTGCTAACAAATAACAATGGATGTAAACTATATAAAACTCTGCTGGTAATAGGCGAGCTGCTTCCACAACAGTGCAATCAGAAATGAATCCAAACGGTTTCAAATCAGAAGGCTGATAACGTGTGCAAGCTGGATATGCGATGACGCATGAAATACTGAAATACCTGTTTGTTTGATAATTTGGGCAGCTGCCAGTTACAGGGAAAATAATATGCTTTATAGTTTCTGAGGTAGTCATTAGCCACCCCCAGTGTGAGATATAAATATTCACCTCAGTGTGAAGTATGCGCACATAGGGCCTGATTCTGATCTCACTCTAATTTTATATCACTGTAACTCCATTAATTTCAGTAGAGCCACTCCTGATTTACACGGGTGCATGTTAGCTCGGACTGAGGCCCTGATATCTGCATATAAGACCTTATCCAAACCTCACTGAAATCAATGGGAGCCTTTTCACTATCTTGAAGGGGACCTGGCTCCGCCCCCATATTGAGACTTGAGCGAAAAGGCAATCCAAGAAACTAAGATATACAAACGTGGGATTGCACAGCTTTCAGTAGTGGTATATGCGGAACAAACATCTTTAGCATCGTCATGGGGGGGCGACGTGGGGGTGTAGGTATCAACGAGGTATGTGCGAATGTAAAGGAGTCAGTCTTTCTATTGGTTGTGAGCCCTAAGAATCACTATCTAGAAGAAAACTTCACAAACCCAGGCAAGCCCCATCCAGTCCAATTGATTCTCACCAGCGACACATCTGTTTTTATTGAAGAACCTTAACTGTTCTGCCTTATATATTCTGAAAGGAAGGGGTTGTTCCAGTTGCATGGGCTGCGACCCTCTGGTACTGTTAGCTAGAATCGCTTCTGTTGCCCTTCTTACCCATCTATGCCTTCCAGGAGCCTGAAGTTGAGTTTTGCTTCCGGATGGTGGGGTCTGCCTGCATTGTCAATGAACACCAGGCGAGAAGGCGCACTTCCCCGGATCTGGTGGGAAAAAAGCGAGAAGTTCACATTTTGGGGGTTCTTTGAGCTGACATTTTGGGAGGAAGGGTAATTTGTATGCAAAGAGTGGGGTTTTGAATATTTAGGGTTGGCAGCAATGACAGTCCATAGCAAGGGTGGAACCAGGGACCACGTATTAACTCTTGTCTGCACCCAGGCCAGTGCGACTATGCACTGCCCTTTGCCTTGGAGCTGGTAGCAAAACCACAATTTAACCCAGAAGTCTTAAGTTGCTGAGCACATGTACCAGCTGCGTCAAATAAAATGCAGAGGGTCACCATGGCCAGGCCCCTAAAGTTAAACTCATCTCGTCCCCAAGGATTAAATTGGACTGTAGTAGATTTCTAAGATGAAAGTCAGATTGTCATTATCTAACATTACTGAGCAACCTCAATGTCATACTTCATTCTTAACTGCCTGTTTTATTTATTATTATCCAGGGACAATATTTATTATCAGCCCGGTATTTGATTTCATGGTGAGAAGACAAGTAGATTGAATTTCATTTGTTTAATATTCTGGCAGAATAAAATGTGCGTATTGTTGAAGGAATACAGCCACTGTACGACTGCTATGTCATGCTGAACTTTTACTTCGGAAGTGTGTACGTGGCTATGCAGCCAGAAGGAGATCATGTCATTCTGTTTTTTAAGTGCTGCAACTTTAAATGGAGAGAGATCTCCCTGCCTCATGCTGTCACACTGCGTTTCATTTCAGATGCAGAATGTTACAAAGAGAATCACACACCGTGCTTGCTGCTTGCTCGCTCTCACTCACTCTCAGGACCAGATTCAGATACACTTACACTTACTATACTTTTACTTACTCTGAGCAGCAAATTACTCCACCGGTTGTCCCATTGACTTAGTTATACACATAAGAATCTAACCTGCAGGTCTTTATTTTCTCTTACCCTGAAATAAAAGTTACCTAGACATATTTTGCTCTTTGTGGCGGTGGTAAAATCATAACAAGAGTCAATAACAGATAACCAGTCTGGCCTGTTTAAAAAAAAAGGTAGAGGTTAGAAACTGAAAGGATGGAGACAAACACAATGTTTGGCGATCTCATACCAGGATGTGGACCAGGACCAGCTGTGCAGGAGTCCTACATTTGTCATGAAGCATTTCCTCCATGCAAGGTTCTGTAGGGTCTGGCTGAAATCCACAGCAGTAACGGTCCAGGCGGTCATGAACCTGTGGGTGACATTTGAAGTATTTAGAGGCTTCAGGAATTTTAGGATGGAGATGTTAAGTTGTAGTTTAACAGGGAACTTTTCATGCCTGGAAGAAAAAAGCTTGATAAAATTTAGAGAAAAATCCAGATTATTTGTTAATGAAAGAGCTGTTTATATAAAAGATTGGTGGGTGTTCAGAGAACCATCCAAAAATGTAGCTGCTTTTCTAAACCATTTTGGTCTGGAAAGTGGACTGCAAAGCTCCCAATAACCGGCTTTCCTGCAAGATTTCAGACACTTCCTGCTTGCGGTATTTCAATACTCGATGTTTGCATGGACTGAATAGATTCTGTTTCTATCTGAAACCAAGAGGAGATGCATATAAAAATTAAAGCAAAACAAAAAAATAAGTTAATTGAATTTTTTTAAACCTCAGAAAGGGATTTTCTCAGGCAAATTCAAATACTGGATGAAGGTTTAGGTTGGCTCCTGTTTTATATGAACTATTTCACCCTTCTCTAATAATAATCGAAACAAGTAACAACTATTGATAGAAATGAGAAGAATGAACAAGGTGGCGTGGGGAATTGTTCTATGCTTGCTTGGCCCGTTGGTATATTCTTAACACCTGCATAGTGCGGGATTTGTCCTGCGTGCAGTTTGCAGATCAAGGTGGATACTCCAGGTGGGGCACTGTAACTTGCTTTAGCTGCATCTGTTATTTAGTAATTCATGGGCACTTTTGAACCTGCTCCTCCTCACTCCTGACAGCCCATTCAATGAAATGCTGATGCCTTCCCTGAAGTCCTGCTCTGGAGCCTTTACTGGAATGTGCATTATACAGTCCGGAGCACAGAACTCTCCTCTTGTGGATCCTTAATCTAATGTATAGATTTTAATTTAACATCTTTGAATTTAGCCTGACATAGGGATGAAACAATTTGACTTTGGGTTTATTCCCCTGTTTTTTGGTAGGTGAGTGCCCAATGTTACAACCAACACTGCTAGGAAGGAGCCACCTCTGGCAGCAACTGGCATGTCTGAAATTTTCATCCAAATCCTTAGGGTCACATCCTCCCCTGAGTATACGGTTTGGCACAGGGAAGAAGGAATCCTTTCATAGGCTGTTATGGGGTCACTACTTTAGCCCATTGCCTACCTGTTGTATGCTTGCCACACAGAGGCAATGGCTGGTGGATCCCCCTCATGGCAGACTGGCTGGTCTAGACCTCCTTCCCCCCGACCTGCTCCATTTACTAAACCCAGGCAGAAGGTGTTGGGCTGCATGACACCTAGGTATGCACAGACTTTCTACATGAACATGGGCTCCCGTATTTGTCCCTACCCCACTCCTGAAGAGTGGAACCACCTCACTTGTGCTGCACGCATGACACTCCATATCCTTGGAGGAAGAAATAGGATTTGACTCTCCTTCAAGATTAATGTTATCACTATCAAGTGAAACCCAGAAGCCATAACCCCTTTCTAATTTTCCATGCCCCACTCGTTAGCTTTGTCACAATAAGCTATTGGTTTTTATGCTTCTTTGTACAAGGCAGACGGTCTGCTGTCTCAGTTATATAATAATCACCCCAGAGGTGTGCAAAAGTGCCAGGGCTGCATACAGGAGACTGACTCACTGCCTCCTCCGAACAAGGCCTGGCCAGAGCACAGCAGCATAAATCAGCTCCTGCAAACACATCACACTTTCCTGAAACGGGACCAGTGCTGCTGAGGCAGGCAGAATTGCCAGAGTACGTAGCGAAACTGACCGATTTCGCATGAGATTGCCAAGGAATCTGCTTCAAACCAGAGACGTGAATCTATAGCCTGGTTTTGGGTTATGAACCTGTAACTCAGGTCAGGTTCGCCGAGGTTCATGAACCTTTCGGTCAGGCTGGGCCAAATTTCAAGTGAACCTGAGCTGAGTTTCAGGTGCCAAAGGGGGGATTTATGATTTTCAGTGGAAACCATGTGATATTAGGTAATTTCCACAATTTCAACTTAACAACTACCAGAAATGTTAGCTGAATTGTGTTTTGTCTGAACCCCAAACTCAAATCAAAGCACAGAGGAATAAAGTGATATAAGGAATGCACAGTTTGATTTGTGTGACCATTATATTCCTAGCCCTCTTAGATCCCAAATTAATTAATTGGATGCCATGCTAGTATTTCTTAACACAGGCCCATCGGCTGATGTTTAATGAGGCACTCCAGGCAATATTTCTCCTTCAGGGAAACCCTAGAGCTAAAGTATTTTCTGAAACCAAATGCATTTGAACTCAGGAAAATGTCACACTTATTCCATGCACATCCTATGTTTAGGTGCCTGAAAGTGCAGCACACTGATTTCTCCCACCTTTTGTCATTTTCCATCATAGCAGAATTAATAGTCTGTGCAGAACATAAAGAAAATCTCAGCTGCTTTACAGAGAGAGTCAATGTGCTTGTGCACTAGACAGAAGTTTGACTCGGCGTACTCACTGGGAGACTATGAAAAAAATCATAAGTTGTCATGCACAGGAGGAGACATTGGCCACATTTTCAAAGGGAACTGCATTCCAATTTGGCTGGGTACTTAGGTCTGCAAATGCAGCATTGCAAACTGGGAAATTGCACATGAGAATGGGTAATAACATCTTGTGACTTCCCTCCCACCACTCTGGGGGGAAGATGGCAGCCAACAGCATGCATGCCAGTGAAACAGAGTCAGTTTGGAGAGTGAGCATCATGGAAATACTCTTATGGAAAGAGGCCTGGGATACTTAATGTTCACGCAGATCAGACAAGACCTAGATTTTGCAGGTGTCATCTGAAAAACTCCCACGAAATATATTACATCAGATTCCTATGTCCTGCCTCAGGAGGGAACAGCCCTTTTATTAACTGCACAAGTATTCAACTGAGTCTGAGTCTGCTCAGGTGTCTAGAAACAGTCAAATCACACTGGGCATGCTCAGAGGCTTGAGACATGCATTAATATAATCAATCTCATGGTTCTATTACAGCGGTTCTCAAACTTCATTGCACCACGACCCCCGTCTGACAACAAAAATTGCTACACAGCCCCACATGGGGCTGACGCCATAGCCCGAGCCATGCCGGCCTGAGCAGGGGGAGCTGAAGCTCTCAGGCTTCGGCTTCAGCCCTGGGTGGCAGAGTTCAGGCTTCAACTTCAGCCCCGGGCCCAATGTGTCTAATGCAGGCCCTGGCGACCCCATTAAAAAGGGGTCATGTTTGAGAAGTGTTCTATTACATCATTTTATTAGCATACTCAGCCCCACCCTACTATATAATACCTACCTTTCTATCCCTTCTCCTCCTTTGCTGAAGGCTGACCCCAGCCCACACTGTATTTTCATTAAAAAAAAAACCCTCCCTTGCCTGGTACTTGTGGTAACTGTTGTGTGCCCATCTGGATATGAACGTATTGCCTCTGCTCCACCCACTAGAATGTGGGAGGCTGTACCTTTTAGCATGTTGCTGGGAGACTGTTTTTAGGAAACCAAGGAATAAATGTATATTAGAAGAACAGAAGTTATAAGGTACAGGCTGAGTCTGACATCTGACTTAAGTCTCTCTCCAGGAGCTGGTTTGGCTAATTGTCCCTGGCTGACGACGATGATCTTGCAGAACAGTTGTGATGCACAGTGTAGAGTTGACGCACCTTCTCTCGACTGACATCTGCTCCCCTGGACAGTCTGTGTCTATATTTACGTATAGGCAGAGCTAAGGTAAGACCATATTCCACCTAGGCTTTACTTATACAGCTTATTACATCTTGTACATTTCTGTAATAGAAACAGACACATACCATCCATCTAATGATCTCAAATGCTTTCTAAGCATTAATGATTTCAGCCTCTCAACTACCCTATGAAGGAGGTAAGTATCATTATACCACTTGTACAGATGAGGAAACGGAAGCAGAGAATTTCAGTGACTTAGCCAAGACACCAGAGACTGTCTAGAGCAGTACCAGGAATAAAATTCAGGTCTACCAACTCGAAGGTCTACGATTTAGAGATGAGACTATGCATTATATTTGAGGTTTGCAAGGGTTCATCCAGCCTGGAAGATTTACCATGTTACAACATATTGCAGGTTTCATACCAAAAGAACAAAGCACGATCTGGAAAAATTCATGCCTAGGCAAAGGCTCCAAAAAAGTTTAAATAAGTTTCAACTCTTCCAAATTGGTGGCAAGTCACTCTCCATGAGCAGTATATATAGCTTATGACAGTATAGCCAAAAGTACCATTACGACCATTGTATAGTGTGACTTCCTGCATAACATACCATAGAACTTCACTCTGAGTGAAATGAAGAAAGGTGGGGAGCGGGAACCATGGTGTGGGGAGGGGGAGAGGGGGAAGTGGGCAGGACCAGGATGCGGGAGGGTGGGCTGGAGAGAAGCGGAGGGAGACAAGGGCAGGCTGTGGGCATAAGGACAGATGGGTCTATAACCACTACAGCGCACTCATCTTCATTCTAGCATTTCCTAACTTTGGATGGCTTAACTATGAAACCTTAATAATGTTCTTTTAATGTAGATTTTTTTTTTGGATGAACTTAACATTTATATTGTGGGATTGCCTAGAAGCCACCCAGCTCAGGGCCCCGGTCATGATAGGTGTTGTACAAACATATACGGTAAATGACCATCCTTGCCCCAAAGAGCTTGCTGTTTAGAAGACCAAACCCAACAGGACAATGATGAAAACAAGTGGGTTGTGGTGGGGAGGGTGAGGGAGATGGGATAACAGCAATAACAGGGTGGGTGCAATTCTTAGCCAGTCAGGAGCAGTGATCACAGCTCTCCACCTACCTAGCCATCAGCTGATTGTAGTTTGCTATCTGCATTACAGAAGAGGTGAACTTTCTCTGGATTTGGACACATGAAGGGCAGCTTGGAAGAAAGAACAAAAGAGCATGTCAGAGACATGCTGATAACGGCTGGCACTTGACTCTGGAACTCACTCCCCGCCTTGGTCTGACAGACCTGGCATTTGTTGAC